AAAAGTAAACACATAACTCGTGGTAGACCTCCTGTCATCCAAGTCCCCTGCATAGTCTGCATCCACATATCCCATANATCTCCCATCTAGCAACTAGAGACATTAGTCAAGTCCAAGCAGTGCTTGAACTTGTTTGTAGTAACAGGCTTTGTCAACATGTCTGCTGCATTCTCAGAAGTGTGAACTTTCTCAAGTAATAGTTCACCAGAAGAAACCAGTTCCCTGATCTTATAAAACCTCACATATATATGTTTGGTCCTCGCATGATACACCTGGTTATTTGCCAAATAAATGACACTGTGACTGTCACAATGCAATTGAACTCCACCTTGTTGGGCACCCAGCTCCTTGACTAAACCTGTAAGCCACAAAGCCTCTTTGGCAGCCTCAACTACTGCCATATACTCTAACTCAATAGTAGATAGTGCAACTATAGGCTGTACCATGAACTTCCAACAAATAGGTCCTCTCACAAAAGTAAACACATAACTCGTGGTAGACCTCCTGTCATCCAAGTCCCCTGCATAGTCTGCATCCACATATCCCATAACTAAAGGGTCATTCTGTTGTCTGCTAAACATGATGCCATAGTCTATAGTGCCCCTCAAGTATCTGAAAATCCACTTTACTGCATCTCAATGCTGTCGACTCGGATTTGAAAGAAACTTGCTAACCACGCTGACAGCTTGTGTCAAATTTGGTCTTGTACAAACCATAGCATACATCAAACACCCCACTGCACTAGCATATGAGACCTTTGACATGTCATAAACTTCATCATCTGTCTTCGGGCACTGAGCGATAGATAATCTGAAATAATTCGCCAAAGATGTACTTACTGATTTTGCATAACTCATGCTGAACCTGTCCAACACCTTCTCAACATAGTTATGCTGAGATAGGCATAATCTCCTGGAAACTCTGTCCCTGCGAATCTCCATCCCAAAAATCTTCTTGGTCGCACCCAAATCCTTTATGTCAAATTCTCTACTCAACAAAGTCTTCAACTTGTTGACCTCACTCATACTCTTGGCAGCAATCAACATATCATCCACATAAAGTAACAGAAAAATAAATGAATCATCATCAAGCCTTTTTACATAAACACAACAATCATACTCACACCTTTTGTAGCCAATTCGGATCATGTAAGAGTCAAATCGTTTGTACCACTGCCTCGGAGACTGCTTCAGCCCATAAAGTGATTTCTTCAAATTACAGACCAAATGTTCCTCTCCAGGGAGACTGAACCCTTCTGGCTGTACCATGTAAATCCGTTCCTCCAAGTCGCCATGAAGGAAAGCTGTCTTTACATCCATCTGCTCCAACTNTGGGCAAATTACAAGATCAAGAAAGCAATGCAAGTATTGGTGAATCCGCTTGGGATGAAGCTAGCAATAGCCCAACACTCAAGATGGGCTTGAAAGAAGGAGAACCAATTTTGATCCACTTGATTCAAGTTCTAGAAGAATCCAGCTAGGGGCTAAGGCTAAGATTCAATTGGTTTTTTTTGTTAAGCCTTTCAATTTGTTTAAATAATTTTTATTATTGGTTTAGATTAAGTGGGTGTGAGGATGCTTAGCCCACATATGTATTATTATTTTATTTNGAATGTGCTACTAGTGCCAACACTGTCCTGATGGAAGTGTGTCTGACCACGGGGGAGAAGATCTCATCATAGTCAACCCCTTTTCTCTGTGAGTAACCCTTTGCTACTAGACGAGCCTTGAATTTTTCTCCCTCCTTTTCTGATACTGCTTCTTTCTTCTTATACATCCATTTGCACCTTATTGCTCTCTTCCCCTCGGGAAGCTCCACCAACTCCCACGTCTAGTTCTTATGCAGAGACTCCATCTGCTCCACCATAGCACTCATCCATCTACTTTTATCTTGGCTTTGTACTGCCTCCTGAAAAGTTGTAGGATCCCCGCTACTAGTAATAAGCGCATAAAAAATCAAATCTTCAAAACCATACCTGGTAGGCTGCTTGATATTGCGTTTGGGCCTGTCTGTGGCTATACTATGATGCTGCTGATCACCTGAGATAGAACGCTCTACATGCTGAGCATCCTCTTCTCTACCATGATTCTCTAGCTCCACCTGCACCACATGGTCATTAGTGCTACAGTTTTCTGGTACTTGTTTCTCTTCTTCCTGAGTACGCTGCAACATGGCTTTTTCATCAAAAACCACATCTCTACTGATCACCATCTTGTTTGCCTTCGGATCCCAGAGCTTGAAGCCTTTCACTCCTTTCTGATATCCCAGAAAGATACACTGTCTAGACTTCGCATCAAGCTTCGACCTCTCCTCACTAGAAACATGTACATAGGCTGGACATCCAAACACTCTCAAACCAGAGTAGTTTACCTCACTGCCTGTCCACACCTCCTCTGATACTTTCTCATCTAGTGCTGCCCTTGGTGATCTGTTAATCAAGAAACATGTTATATTCACTGCCCCTGCCCCAAAATTCTTTGCAAGCCCTGCATTCAACCTGAGACACTGAGCTTTCTCGGCTATCGTTCTATTCATCCTTTCCGCTACACCATTTTGTTGTGGTGTCTTGCGGACTGTGAAGTGTCTCTTGATCCCATGCTGCTCACACAANTTGCAAGCCCTGCATTCAACCTGAGACACTGAGCTTTCTCGGCTATCGTTCTATTCATCCTTTCCGCTACACCATTTTGTTGTGGTGTCTTGCGGACTGTGAAGTGTCTCTTGATCCCTGCTGCTCACACAACTCCTGGAAGCTTTGAATCTGTGTGCTCAGTACCATTATCTGACCTGAAGCATTTAATCTTCCTCCCTGTCTGGTTCTCTACTTCAGTTTTCCATAGCTTGAACTTGGCAAATGCTTCAGACTTGTGCCACATGAAGTACACCCAGACCTTTCGTGAGTAATTATCAATGAAACTCACGAAATACATGTATCCTCCCCCGTGATACTACGCTAACTGGTCCTCAAACATCTGTATGGACATAGTCGAGAACCCCCTCTGTCTTGTGTGTGGCTGTCTTGAACTGCACCCTATTCTGTTTTTCAAGAACACAATATTTGCAAAAATTGAGCTTGCATGTCTTGACACCCTTCAATAGATTTTTCTTATGAAGCTCTATCATCCCACGCTCACTCATATGACCCAGCCGCATATGCCACAAGACTGTATCATCTGATTCAGACTCTACAACAGCAACTCCACCTACAATTGTAGTACCCAGCAGTCTGTAAATGTTTTCTGCTACTTTCTATCCCTTCTTCACTGTCAGCATGCCTTTACTCACTTTCATTACTCCACTTATAGATTTGTAACTATAACCATTACAATCCAAAATGTCCAATGAAATCAAATTCTTCCTTAGATCCGGTACATGTCTAACATCACACAACGTTCTAACCATACCATCAAACATCTTAAATTCTAATATTTCCTATTCCAACAACTTTGCAAGATGCATCATTACCCATCAAAATAGAACCAGAATTTACTGACCTGTAGGTGTCAAACCAATCTTTGTTGGGTGTCATGTGATAGGAACATGCTGAATCCATAATCCAAGAATCTGTTAAACGATCTGAACTAGATAAAACAGAAAGCATATCACCGTCACCACTCTCTGAATCTTCTTCTTCCACTATGTTTGCAGACTTTGATGCACCCTCTTTGTCCTCTGAATCCCATTTCTTTTTCTTTGGACAGTCCCATTTAAAGTGCCCCTTTTTCCCGCACTTGTAACACGAGACGGAGACGTCCTTCTTCTTTTTCCTCGACATGGACCGGGCTTTATTGTTACCCGATCCATTCCGAGATTTGCTTCTTCCACGTTCCTGGTTACCTTTCACCACAAGCCCTTCACCTTGTGAAGCCTCATCACTGGCTTTCTTCCGCTGATGAAAACCTAACAGAGCACCTGTGACATCCTCCAATTCGAGGGTTTCTTTCCCCCACATCAGAGTCGTAACCAAATTCTCGTACGTAGGAGACGCCGGNACCTAACAGAGCACCTGTGACATCCTCCAACTCGAGGGTTTCTTTCCCCCACATCAAAGTCGTAACCAAATTCTCATACGTAGGAGACGCCGATAGGGAATTCAGCAACATCAGCGCCTTGTCTTCGTCTTCGAACTTCACATCAACTCGATTCATATCACTGATGATCTGATTGAACACGTTGATGTGTTGGGTCAAATCCGAGCCCTCTGACATCTTAAGACTATATAGTTCCTGCTTAAGATAGAGCTTGTTCGTCAACGACTTGGACATATACCGACTTTCCAGTTTCAACCAAACTTCCGCCGGTGATTCCTCATCCATGACGTGATACATCACTTCATCAGCTAGACAAAGCCTAATAGTCGCCACAGCCTTCGCTTCCAATTCTTTCCAATCCATGTCGTCCATTCCTGCCGGTTGTTTTCCTTATAACGCCTTCACCATGCCCTGCTGCACTAACAGGTCCTTCACCCTCCTCTGTCATAATCCGAAATTCTCAGTTCCGTCGAACTTCCTGATGTCGAATTTTGTAGAGGAAATCCCAAACATCGTAGTCTAGCTTTGATACCAATTGTTGTGATCGTGCAGTAATTATGGTGAATAGTAAGTAATCAAATAATTAAAAAAACAAGAGAAAAATAACACACAGAGATTTACGTGGTTCGACAATATGCCTACATCCACGAGAGCGAGCGGCCATTCTATTTCATTATTAAAAGTAGGATTACATCTTAAGTATTTATATAACCCTAATACGGACGTATTTATAAAAATACCCCTGTATGTGTGGCTCATATTTGCTGTGTGCACAATGACAACGAGGTAGATGCCGGAGCGGACGGAACGTAGCGGAGCGGACAGCATCGAATTGATTCTTCTAATTCTTTACCAGCCCAAGCAAGATTTTTGGTTTTACAGGACCATTTGCAAATTAAAACATCAAGAAAGAAGATATTCTGGGTTTATTACCCACCTAACCCCGAGGTGGCCAGGCGTTAAACAAATATGTCTTTCAAAATTATTGACAGAATTCTTTTACAGAAAAAAGTATTCAAGAGGAATAATTGGAGAATAGTGCTGCTAGACTACAGAGAAGCAAGGAGTACATACATTGCGTTTATAGATCCTCTGGAGAGTATGCAGCATCTCAAGCTTCTGGAATCTCAATCGTCATTGTCAGTGGATATCTCTGATCTTCTGTTTAAAAGACTCTTTCGCAAAGCCTCTTGGTTTCTTTTCGTCTCTTCAGCGGCTATACCACAGATTAAGCTTCAATGGGGATCTTCTTGCTGGAGATTCATTTTCTTCCTTGGTCTGAAGAAAATAATTAGTGATGTTCTTTTTCTTTCCTATTTTCCTCGTTACAGCATCAAGTCCATGCCTGAACTAAGGATCTCAGACCTCAAATCAGAAGACTCCATGGCTCTGCAAATCTTCTGGAAACTCATCTCACCACCAGTGGGGAGAGGCTCCTCTAATGGATTTTTCTGGCTCTGTTCAGTGTCGATTGGTCTCTTGGGGAGGCTCCCTCTTGGTTTCCTGGCTTTCTGTGGGCTCCTATTTTTTCCTTCTTGGATCTGGGCTTTAATAGCTATATGCCGCTGGATGTTATCTTCCTATCTGATCAGAACTCTTTACTTCTATGAAGGGATCTTGCTGGATATTCATCTTCTTCATCCATCTCAGCTTCCAGTTGCCTTCTGCATTGGATTTCTCTGCAACAGGTTGCACTTCGCTGGATATTCATCTTCAATCAGGTTCGATGAAGGAGAGTATATGGCAGAAAGCTTGGCAGTCTTCACAGTGGTTCAGAGATTTTTTCTGATTTTCGTTCTGAGACTAGTCAACTGCCTAGCAATGGGGTTAGCAGATCAGGCCAATGTTATTAGTACCAGATCGGTCGTCGAACCAACAACAGACCGGTCACGTAGTAAAAGAATAAAAAAAATATATGATAATTATAAAACATAATAATTTAACTAAAAAATATAAAATATGCCTAAAATACATACAATTTGTTCCATTTTCTGTGTCTAGTAAGCGACAGCTCAGGCCAATCTCTAAACCTCCATTTCTCCATGTACACCACTTGCATATTAAATAAGTCATAAGGGTAATACAGTCCAAACAAAACAGCAAAACTCAGATTCCATCACCACTGAAACTCAGATTCTATCACCATTACCGACCTCTCAAGTCTCAAAACCACTTGAACCCAAAACTTTTCTCTCTCTGCACTCTATCTCCTCCCAAACTCAAACAATTCCTCTCTCTCTCAAACCCCTCAAAAAAGTCTCTCAAACCCCCCATCAGTAGCGTTGTGTCGCTGGTGAGCCGCCTGAGCACGAAGGACTGCTTCCCTTGGCTGCCTCCCTGATGAGACGAAGAACACTGGTCTGCCTCATTCTCTGCCCTATGCGATTTAGGGCAAAATCAAAATGCCCAAATTAAAAACAGCAGGCTTATATTTTATTCTTTCATTTTATGGATTTCAAATCGGTCTGGTTTTTAAAAATCGTTTGATTCATGATTTTTTTCAAAAATTGATCGATTTAACGGTTTTTATCCGATTTTCTCTTTATGCGGTTTAACTAGTCAATCGGACTGATTGGAGTCCCGAGTCACGGTTAAACCAGTTCAATCGATTAATTCGGTCCAATTTTGATAACACTGATTTACTTATCCGTCCAATATAATTGTCATATCAGCTGTTTTTTAAGTTAACTTATCAAATCCAAGCCTTATAAGATTACAGGCTTTTCAACTGTCCTTATCTGATCAGTGCGCCAAGCCTTATCTGATAAGCTTTGCTTTTAGCTTAAATGCCTTCAACTCAATTCTCTCAGCTTAATATGGCTCGCAGCTCATGCTCCCAGCTCATCCTTTCGGGTTACAATTAGGGGTGTCAAATTTGTCGGGTTAAACGGTTACATGTCAAGTTAAACGAGTGACAGGTGAAAAATATATAAATTTGTACACGATACGTTTAATAAATAGATAAAAAATCTAAACATGAACACAAACCATTTAATAAACAGATAACACGACACGATTCGTTTAACTCATTTAATTTTATTAAAAGCAAAAAATCTATCTTATTAAAATTTTAAACTCCATTAATTACCCACACCAATTGTACTCTTTTAATTAAAAAATTTTTAGCTGGCTGCCACTTGCAAAGGCAAATGGGAAGGTTTAATGACTAAAAGAAGGAGCTGCATCTTTTTATAGGCATGTGAGGTCTCCTTCATTTAAATTAGTCGATGTGAGATTTAAGCCAAAAGTTTTCACTGTGTGTTCATTGTATAAGTTTGTGCTCCTTGAAGTCTCTTTTTCCTAGTTTCTTTCTTGCACACGACATAGAAACCCACCATTGACCATACTCTGTAGTTGTGTTACGACCCGAAACAAGTGAAAAACGACGATAGTTTTTGTTGCGTCCATGTCTTCACCTTCGATTCACCATCTCTTAACAACAAACTCAATCAGCCTAAAAACCAAAGAATGAAGCTTCGGCTTTAGTGGCTTTCTTTATTGTGGAATTGGGTATTTAGGTTTGCAAAGAATTCAAATGTTCTTTAGAATTGGGTCTTTAGATTTGATTCTTTCGAATTGGGTCTTTAGATTTGAGACTTTAGATTTGTAGAGAACTCAGATGTTTATTGTGGAACAAGGGGTTGGGTCTGTTCTTCAAGAAAGAGATTGCAGGGTATTGAGTCTGTTTTATTGAATTCAATTTTTACCCTCGACCAGGTTTTCACATCGAACACGGCAGAGTGGTAAGTGAATAATTTGTACTTAATTTTTTTGAAGTAAAATTTTTCTTTATACATTTACCATATATTTATATATAATAAATATTTTATTTTAATTTTGACTAATTTTTTAAAAATAATTATTAATTTATTATTATATTAATTTTTTTAAACGAGTAATAAACAGATTGACAGGTCTCACCCGAATACGAACTCATTTATTAAACGTATTTGACAGATTAACCCATTTATCACCCAAATCCGTTAATGTCTCACCCAAATTCGTTAAATTTATGTTGATTAATCGTGTCGTGTCAAATTTTGACAGATCTAGTTACAAATATTCTCAGCTCATCCTGCTCTTAGCTGCCAACGCTCTCACATTAGGCTCACAGCTCATCCATTCTCTCTCCTAGCAAGTCTCTCAGCTCACGTTAAATGCTGTCTATTTTGGCAGCTTTTACTATACTTAGCTGCCTGCATTTCCAACAGCTTTCCTAACCAAATCACCTGGAGCAGCTTAATTTTAGGCAGGATGCTTAGTTTGTACTAAGCATGCATATTTTGCTGTCTTTTTTTTTTTTAATACTTTCATATATTTAGAATAAATTGAGGAATAAGGTCCATACATTTTCCCTGACTAAGTGAAATTTAAATTTTTAATTAATAAAATTCTCTCACATCATCAAGGTTCATCCAAAAAAAAAAAATGATAACAAGGTATCACCATTATTTATTCGTAGGGGGAGGGGGGACTAGATTGGGAAAGGAAAAAGGGAATTCCCTTATTCACGAGTATATATTAGGTGTAACCATTCAATAAGAAAAGACCAAAAAGGATAATATTGGTCTCATTTCCTATCATAGAGGTAATTATGTATTATATAAATGATTAGTTATAAATTTTAGTAGAGTCCATTTGCTAGCTTATTTACCTGCTAGCGATATTTCGCGACTAAAATCATTGTATACTGAATTGTTATACTGTGCATACATTGTAATATGTGTTGGAGTGTGTGTATGTATGTGCAGCTATGTATTGTGGAGTGTGTGTTTTGGATTTTTGAAATTTGGGGCGGAAAATATACCCTCCATAAATTCAAACATCTATCTGATTTATTATATAGATTAGTGGACTGTTACACCATATGACACTGCTGACATGATATAACGATTAAACTCAATTGTTTTGTCTTTATTCACCATAGCGCTTAAGGGACAAGTTTTAGAGTAAATACGACCAATCTAAAATAGAAAGAAACTATATTTGATTTTTGTTGAACCGTCAATCCCAGGCAAAAAATAGGATTTAGAGTTGGAGTAGGTCATTGTTTTTTAGATGTACAAACAAAGAAAATTGACAGGAATGTTTAACTGGTGAGCTTAGAATCAAGACTTTCTAATTGCCTCGTAGCCGTGTCAAATGCTGAAAATTAATGAAGGAAAAAAAACAGAAGAAGATGTATGAATTTGGATCCTCTTAATTTCAAGGTTAAAAGACTAGTTTAGCAAATTGTTTAACCAAATCAACATGAACAATTGGATCATTGAGGCCCTTTTAGGAAAAGTGACTGCACTGATCTTTATTTATTTGATAAATAAATTTGACAAATTTGCAATAATCCAAGTTGAATCTCATTTAATCTATTTGGTTCTGTCAAACATCAATGGGATCCATAAAAATTGGCCAATGAGATTCAATGTACTTAGTGACAAATATTAGAACTTGATCAAAATAGACAAGACCAAAAATTAAGAGGTGGGTCATAAAAAATTGTAGACTCTTTGAAGGATGGAGTATAGCTAATGGGATTTCACATTGTTAATTCATCGAGAATGCTAAGTTGTTGAGAAATGTGGCTTTATTGATGGAACTTTTCATTAATGACAGAGTTAAAGGAAAGAACATACACGAAATCACTCATCATGCAATTATTCAAATAAAACACATACACACACAACAACCACAACAACAACAAATTCAAACATCTTACAGGAATGAAGAGGATTTCATTGGTTAGTGGATCAAAATTAAGATTTTTTCGTTTAATGTTGAATTGCAGTTTTCATAACTTTGACAATTCGTTAAACCTAAACTTACTCTTTAGCATTCAAAATACATAGTGAGACCTTAATTTTTATCTCATAGGTGTAGTGGAATCTTTTGCAAATAGTTGTGTGGTACTAAATTCTCCCCACGGATATTCCTTTCATTTGATGAAAATAAATATGACTTATTTTCTATATTTTCTTCTGGATCGTCTACCCAGCAAAAAAAGAATAAGAGACAAGGGCAAAGATCTGGTCAAGCAATGCATAGATAGATGAGAACAATCGCAATCGTAGATCTCACATTACTCCTACCTATGATGTCTTTCGTCGAATGGCTCACGTGGCAGAACATTATTGGTTCAAATCATGCAGCATAAAAGGATACATTTACCATTTTATTGTGAAAACACTATGTCTCCCCCTCCATTCATCTTTCCTTAACTTGAAACCCCTCTCTCTCTCACACACACAGACACCCCTATGGACATATTTGACGTATAAATATAAAACATGATTTTTAGTACTAAACAAACTAAAGAAATAATGAAATATATATGCCCAAATACAAGGAAACAAACTGTGAAACTGCTCTAGAAGAGCCAAAAACCTCCTAATTAGGATGCCCGGAAGAAGACAAAAGACCCTGCTCCTTAATGGAAGAAAAACGCCTATGGACATATTTAACGCCCTTTGGGAAATGTTTTTTTCACCTTTTAATCTTGTTTACTTTGTTTTATACAGAACGGTTTTTCAGTTTAGTATCCCCAATCATGTGATATGTTTTAACTTAGATAGCATGGTGCATACATGTGCACCAATATACACAACCATTTCACTGAACTATAAGATAGGGTAGAATACAAATGGTACCTCAAATTAGTTATATTTTAATGACTTGGCTACCATATGAATTATAGGTTAGTTCTCAACTCATTCACATACGTACTATATTTGTAATTCGAGTATAGATGAGGCAAAGCATTTTCTTTTAAAGAAACAAAAAGAAATAAAAGATTTTAGTAGTGTAGTGAATTCCAAAGGTAGCAATATTAAGTTTCTAACATTTTTCTATTTTTTTTTCCTTCGTGTGCTTTAAATGTGTGATTAAACTCTCAAAGCTGCATTCATTTTTGAACTCTTCCATAATTTGGTATTTGAAAATTTTTGACAATATATATATTAAAGATAATTGCTTAACCTTATATGATAGTGTAGCATAATAAGTTACTCAAAACAATAATTCACTTGGGCAGAAGATTGTTAAAGGAAAATACTAAAAGAATGTGGTTGTAGTGCCCAATAAATTTAGGATAGGTGTTCACATCATAGAAGAACAAGTGACAGGAATTACCAGTTGCCATGGCAGTGGGGCTCGACCAAGTCTAACAGGATTGGTATAGACAATAGTGCCATGATAGAACCTAGTGTTGCGAGATGCGCCTAGTGCCGCGACATGCATATTAGGGCCACGACAAACACTCTAGTGTTGCAACAAGCACCATCACCACAAAGGGTAAAACACATTCTCATCACACTGGAAATGAAAAAACAGCATCGCAAAGTTCCGAGAACAACCTTGGCGTGACTTGTGTCCCCCACTGTGGAAACAGGACATAAGG